ATTACATTGAATAAGAATAGAAGAAATTTAGCTAGAAAGAGGAATCATCTAGCTCAGCTTACAATAAGCATTACGCAAGTCAAGGACAGAAACTGACAATGAATAAAGACAGAGAAAGTTAAAAGGATTAAGCATTCAGCAGAAAAATCTTAAGACAATGAAGCAAGAATATAGAAGGGGCAGGAGAAAGTTCGAGCTGTTAGCTAGATTTCCTGAGAAAGATAAGTCAAGGCTAGAAGACAACATTGAATACAGATAAAGAGCTTGTGGAAAGTGGAATATACACCTGATCACATCAAATGTTAAGCTTAACTCATTAAAGCTCATTAAACTCTAAAACATTTGCTGTACCCACAGCATGTGGCTATGGTATGTGGTTTAAGAGCTTGCCTCTTTAATTCAATGTAGACCATCAGCATCAGCGATGCAAACGACAAAGCGAATGGCAAAAATTCTAAAAAAAAAAATAAAAATTAAAAGAGAGAGAGAAGCAAAAACTAATTGCTGCTTTTAGGCGTTAATGAAAATTACAAATTGCGCATACGCCGCATAGTGCAAGCGCGCCATATGAATGCATGTATGAGGATGTGTGTGTGTTTGTGTGTGTGTGTGTCTGACTATCTGATTGTATATGTGTGTGCATGCTGTGGTTAGAGCCACGGATCGATGGTGCATTGTCATTGCATGTGGTTGCATAATCGCTGCTCTACATTTCGCGCATGAGTGCAGCAGCAGCAGCAGCAACAACAACAACAACAACAACGATCTCAACAACAAGCAAACCCATTAGAAGTTGCAACATTTTCACACACACACACATAAAGAGAGATTGCAGTCAGTCAGACAGCGCAACGGGCGGGCGCGAAGGTGGGCGTGCCCCTTCTAACGGCAGTTTTTGTGTTGAGTCATTTTTGCGCTCAAAAGCACTCAGCAAAACAAATAAACACTTTGCGCATTGTTTCGTTTTGACAAATGCGTGTAATTTACGGAAATGTTTGTTTGGGCAGCAAACCCAGCCCACTCGCTGCCCCCGCCCCCCCTCCACGCCACTGTCTGTCTGCCCGCGTCTCGTTTGAATTGTCTTAAGCGTGTTTGCACGGCACTCACATGTCGCTCGCTGAAGCTGGAGCTGCTGCTGCCGCCGTGACTGTTGCAGTTGTTGTTGCTGCTGCTGCTGCTGCTGTTGTTGCTGTTGTTGTTGCTGCTGCAACTGCAATTAGTTGGCGCTCTAAAAGCCATGAAGTGAGCGCTGACTGTGCACATATCGTGCCACATTCGCCCACTAATGACTGCTTCTAACAGTTGCGCTGCTCTCTTCTTGGCTCCCCCGCCCTCTCTCGCTCACTCTCATACACTTTTCCCCCCTTTTTTGTGCAAATTACAAAGGCGCTACAAAAAATGGTTTTATGTGTTGGCAGCTGCTCATCAAAGTGGCAATAAAATATATGCGCTCGAATGGCAAATCGCGAATAGTTCATTACAAGTGCACAAACTGCCACGCCCACACACCGTACTCTACCCACTCTCTATTATCGTCTCTCTCTCTCTTTCTCTCTCTTTGCGATTGGCAACCACAATTTGTTGCAATTGGCCGACAGATGAAGCGCGCCGCCTTTTGTTTCGCCCATCTCGAAAAGGGTTCGCTTTGGCCCGCTTTGTTGCGGTCTTAATGAGCAAATTTCTGAGTCCTGCTGGCCCACTTGAGCTGTTGGCTCTTACGCAGCGTCCTTTTGTGAGCCAATCTGCTTGTTGTGCTCTTATTGTTTTGTGCCTTCTCCTCTCGCTTGCCGCCTCTTCTCCCTTTCTTTTTGTTGCTTTTCCAGTTGGGTTCGGCAATTTATGATACCTTTGTGGTTTCAATATCGTCGAGCAACATAATTAAAAATTGTGACAGCCATAAATTTTTGCTCTTCTCTGGCTCCCAGAGGACCCAGATAGCCAGGACCAGGGCGTTCACAATGACAAATCAGCTGGAAAAATCGTTTGGCCAGCACAATCTGAAGTGATGCTGGAACGGGCTGGAATGCTGCGGCTTGGGCACAAGGAAATCAATTAGGCCACATTATATGCAATTGAAGTTGAACTCGAGAAGAGTAAAGAAAAGAAATCAACTGGCAGAGCAGGGGCAGAGTGCTTAAAGCTCAACTGAAACATTTGATGGCGCTCATTGTGTTGGCACTGCGGCTGGCTGTCAGGCACATGGCCGGCCACTGATTGCTTAGACGTTGACGTTGACGTTGACGCCCACATCAGGTCCGGGCGCTCGCTTTTCACAGCTGCCATATAGTTGGCCCTGACAGGCCAAGGAGCGGGCGCTTGCCTGGCTGCGGGTAACAGTTGCCTTTGCCGTTGCCGTTGCCTATGTGTCTATGGGCAGAGTCTATGGCGACAGCAGGGCCAGGCCCCCACCAGTGTTGTAAAGTGTCAAAACGTGTACTTGTCGCTGGCAGGCAGCAGCAGCAGCTCCTTTAATTTGAATTTTATGCACTGCATGCATAAATTTATGGCACAGGACACGCCCGCCAAAACGTCGACAATGACAAAGGCAACATGACAGTCACATGTCCATTACGTACCACACACACACACACACACACACACACAAAGCGAGAGAGTGCTAAAGATGCTGGTAGTTTATCTATTTAAGCTACTCTTTAATAGTTGCTCAACTTTCGCTTTTGTCTTTTGCTTTATCTGCGCTTTGTCATCTGCATTTATTTTAATGAAATGCCCGCCTCAAATTAATTGCTGCAAATTAATGTTTAATTGCAGAGCAGCGCGCTCGAAACGTTTAAAAATGCATTTGCAATATGCAATTGTTGTTCAAGCCAGTTGCGTGCATTGCCATCGAATTCCGCCTACACACTATGGACACATGACAAACTTAATATCCTGCTGTCAGGCGGAAGCGGGCACTCATGCCAATTCTCTGTCAAGCCTGTCAGTTCAACTGCTATCTCTCTCTCTCTCTCTCCCACACTCTCTCTTGAAAAAACATGTCGAAAATAGCATTTGCAACGTGCATCAAAAAGTCAGGCGACAGGCAACAAAAGTGCACGCGCCTCATTGCATTATAAATGCCGCAATTGCCAAGAGTGCTGAATATTTTTGGTCGGGCCGAGTTCTGTTATTGTTGTGGCAAGGCAAGGCATGTCTATCCGGCTGTCTCTCACTCACTCACACCCACACACATTGACTGGCACACACAAGTCAATATCATGGCATGGCAAACGATCTAGCAGCTGTTCCAGCTGGGACCTTGGCATGTCATCAACTGAAATTGACAGCTAAAAGTTTCTCGGCTGGCAGCAGCAGCAACAACGCGCTGCTATTCATACAGACAACTGATTAAAGGTAGATAAGCATGTGGAAGGGTTGACAATCTTTATTTATGCAATTCTTTATTTATTGCGAAGGCTATTTAAGTTCCAATGACGTGAATTAGTCAAGTGAGGTTAAAGAGAAATTTAAAATGAAATGCAAGACGAAGGTCCTTTTCCTCATAATCAAGATTCAGTTTCCTTGTTTCTTTGATCTCTCTCTGTCTCTCTCTATCTATCTGTCTATCTCTCTCTCTCTATCTATCTCTCTCTCTCTCTATCTATCTCTCTCTCTCTATCTATCTCTCTCTCTCTATCTATCTATCTCTCACTCATACTCTACATCTCTTCATTACATGTTTCCTGTTGTTCTTTCCCTCACTTTCACTTTCTTGCTTTCCCTCTCACTTCCCTGTCTGGCTGTCTGTTCTTTCCCTCACTTTCACTTTCTTGCTCTCCCTCTCACTTCCCTGTCTCTCTATCTGTCTGTCTCTCTTTTCCTCTTCCTCTCTCTCTCTCTCTCTCATTATCTATCTCTCACGCACACTCTACATCTCTGCCTTACATGTTTCCTGTTGTTTCTTCTCTCACTTTAACTTTCTTGCATTCCCTCTTACTTTCCTGCATCTCTCCCTCTCTCTTTCTCTCTCTCTCTCTCTCTGGCTCGCTTGTTTCTTCAATCTTCTGCCTTGTCAACTTTCACTGATTCACTCCCTCCACTCTCCTCTCCTCACCCCTCGCTCTTCAGCTGACTCTTGCCACACTCTATTCAACAACGCCTTTCTATGCGATTTTCATGAAATTTAATTAAGCCCCACAGCAGTTGCTCCGTTGCACTGTACAGAGGAAGACAGATTTGGAAAAGTTTCGCTCTTGTTGTTATATAAATAAATTGGCTCTCGTTCAACTCAACAGCCTTGCTTCTGGCCCCGTCTCCTACACCCTCCCTCCCCCACCGACGCCCTCACTCCAACCCGTTATGTTATGCAAAGTGGGTCAATTCCAAATAGATGTAAATTCTCATATAGATAAATTGCATTTAATCAACATCTCGTATGCCATTATAAAAGAACCGCATAATGTGAAATTTGTGCATTTATTTCTGGATTACTTAAGCAGTGCACACTGTGATTACGGGCATTAGGTTCGTTTAGCAACAACTAAAGCCAAAGCTAAACTCAACTGTGACCAAATGTCACACGTGGTTTTAATTATTGTCACAAGTAACTATCAGCTGCTGTGTGTGTGAGTGTGTGTGTGTGCGTGTGCGTGTAATTACATTTTGTGGCATTTTGTAAAGTGTTGATTATTAATTAAAATAGCTTTATTTGCCATGGCACGCATGCCTGTGGACTTGTTAGAGCGCCTATCAAAATAACCGAATATCAGATATGCAGTTAAATATTTAACATTGTGCGCCTAAATACAACTCGTATGCATGTAATTATGCCATAACGAGCTGTACGTGTGTATGTGTGTGTGTGTGCTGTGTCTGTGTTGTGCTAATGGCTGTAATTAAACTGCAACGTGAGACGTTTAAATGCAAATTGCTAGCAAGTGAACTGCTTTGACTTTAGCCAAATTGTATTTACCGAAAGCACCAAGTACTCATCTCTCACTCTCTTTCTCTCTCTCTCTCTCTCGGTCTCTTTCTATTACCATCATCTGTGGCACTGGCAGAAGGAGTTATTCGTTAGCAAAGTTGAGCCAACTTCGCCGCGCAACGAACGCAAATTCTCGGCCGCCACAGCGCCATCGATGAAAACAAAGTGGCTGAAAGCATTTAAGAGCCTAAAGCCGGTGGGTTCTGGTTCAGCAACACAAGCAGATAGGTAAGTGCCACACCCCCAGTCACAGTTCACAGCCCACCGAAGCCCATCTACAAATACAAGCCCGCATCCCGCACCCGGCGACCCGCAGCCCACTCAAACAATTCATGCTAAAAATAACTACCATCGCATGCTTATATATCTTTGTACCACGTTTAAGCCAAAATGCAAACGCTCTCCCCCAATATACCTATCTCTGTATATATACAGTTCCAGTTCGTGGCAAATAAAAGCAAAACAGCTGCAAATTGTCGGCAAATGTTCCAACTGCATAGATACAAAATGAAGCGCGGCAAAGCCAAAGTAAAAACGTAAAAAAAAATATAATAATATTTTCTAGTATCCACCCGCACTTTAATATGACTAAAAGCCGCGAAAATATGCCCTTAAAAAATAGAAAAGTCGAGCAAAAATTTCAGAAAAAAAAATGATAAAAAAAAAATTCGAAATGGAAATGGAATTTTATGCAAAACGAAAATTCTTCCTCAAAATATTTCCATTTATGCAATTTTTGCATTTCCAAATTTACGCTAAGTAATTTAATAAAAAAAAAAAGAAAAATGGAATAAACTGGGGAAAGCGAGAGCTGAAAATTTTCCTTTCGTTTGCATTTGGCAACCACATAGTCGTCTCTCCCCCTCCACCTGCCCCACCATCCGCACACGAACAGCCCACATAACGAATATAAACGGAAACTAAGTTAGCTCTTAAGCATATCCTTTAGGCATATCCTCTTTGCATATCCTTTAAGTTAGTCCAGTTTAACAAATGTATTTAACTAATATTCTCTACACATTTTTCTCTACAAAACAAAAAATCGTTTGCGTTCGAACAAAAAATAAAAAATATATAAAAAACGACATTTATAACATTCTTTTAATTTGACGACAAAATCGTACAATATATATTTATATATACATCAAATATATACTTATATATATATCAATGCAAATCAGCCAACAACCCCGACAAAATCAAATGTACCACGCCGTATCAACCGTTTTGACCTTGAGGTAACCAAAATTAATCAAGCAACAAATAAAAATCAATCAACATTTTCTTTATGTTTCTAATCGAATGGTACAACAACAAAAACAACAACAACAATGTATATTAAAAAACATATTTTTTGCTTTATTAGCGCTTGATAGAATACCAAAAATAAAAGCAAATAAATTGCCATTAATGTTGCACGCAAACGTAGAATTAGCCGCTGCCCCGCAATACAAAACAATTCGTTTGTAAAAATTCCAAAATTAAAATTTACAAAAAGAAAAAATCCATTAAATATATTAAACAAATATTAAATATGAAAAGCCTGCAAAAAGCAGCATAAAAAAACTACAAATATTTTTTATTTTAGTTGCATTTTTCACATTTTCACGTTTTATAAATTGAATTATTTTTTATTTATATATTTTTTTTCTTTTTGTATTGATTAAGCGCCATAAATTGCACCTGTGTCCAGCGGCGACCATCAATCAAAGCTGCTGTGAAATCAATTAAAATAGGCAAAGGCACAAAAAAAAATAGCATTTATGGAATGCCACGCATTGAGTAGGCAGCGAAAGCCCGTAGAAGTAATTAGGTTTTGACTGCCGCAGGACGAATACCCTTGCGAATGTCTATTAAGGACTTGCGGCTAACAAATTATTTTATTTGAAATATTTTATTGAAGCTAAAGTTAGCTGAGTTGCATTATAGTCTATTATATATGTATTTTGTATATATATAATAAATAAAATATTTAAAGTAGTTACAGAGTATTAGTTTTTATATAATTTGGTAGTAGTTTTTGTATTAATGAAAAGTCTTAGAAAGAAAATTTTATATTGTTTCTAATTTACAAATTAATTATGAAGAAGAAGTTCTCTTATAAGTATATAACATACTTCTAAAATAACTCATCTAAGAAGTCAAGTTCATCTTAAAAGAAGATTTTTTCTTTATCAGAGCTTTCAACTTTCAATAGCAAGAATGCATATTAGATTTTTCCATAACTAACCTTAATTCAAGTATTTCTATTTCCAATCCAAACATCCATCAACCCATATTTTATTTAGAAATATGTTTACGCCAAACGATGCAAACAGAGTCAAAAGCACATCTATATATTCTAGCTTATTCACCTTAGGCTAGAGTATCAGCGGAATAGCCAGGCAAAAGCACACACTTTTGCCATCTCAATGCCGTTAAGGCATTGCTCTAACTAGCCTAGTTTGCTAGTAGCTATTGCTATCTGTGTCCATATGTGCCCATAGAACTTACGCCACGGCCACTAAATTCAACTTGGCGCCAGTTGAAGCATTGGAAAATATGCGAAAAATTGCTGGCCATAAATTTATAGAAAGCCGCCATAGACACACACGCCAACACACACCACACACACACACACACACACATGCAGATAGATAAATTGCATTGGCATTGCCAATGCAATGCACTGGGCAATGGCATCCGCATCTCCATCCACATCCGCATCCGCATACTCACATTCGCATGCACTTCCGCTAGCAGTGTTCGCATTCGAATTGGCTGCCGTTTATGGCATTCCCATTGGCCCATAGCCTGCTATATATACACGTTTTTTTTTTCTCTCTCTCTCTTACTCTCGCTCTTCATCATCTTTTTTTATTTGTTTGGTCGCATTCGCCAACAATACTTAATACCATGCCGACAGCTTGCGCTGCAAACGATGATAAATCGAAAATCTTCTCGGCTTAGAGCGGCTTCAGTGAGCGCGAGAGAGATAGGGGGAGTGAGTGACATATAGAGATAAAGTGAGATGGAGATAGCTGTGCGATAACTCGTCAGCTGAAGCGGAATTATGAGGCAACTGCTGCGGCTGCGGCGGCAACTGAGACGTCGGCGACAGATTTTGCAATATACGCTTGCAGCCTCATTCATCAACTCATCTGCTTAGCTGCAGCAGATTTGGGCCATATCAGCATATAGTATAATAGTATATTAGTTCTCGTTCATAAGGGCGCTGGCGCTAAGATTTAATATAAATATTTACAAACGTAACAAGAAAATCACAGTTCAACTTTTGTTATATTGCAAAACTTTTCGCATTGCGCACCAAATTACGCATACGCCCCCGTTAAGCCAGCCAAGCAGCCCGCGAAAAGTCAGAATTCAGTACGTTTTTTTTTTTTTTTCACCTTTGGAGCCCGCAATATATTTTTGTTTTTGTTGTACTTGTTTTTGTCATTTTCATTTTCATTTATATTTTTTTTGTTGGCTTTCATAAAACTTTTCCTTGCGCATTAATGAAAAATGTATAATTAATTTTATGGCCCTCATTTTTGTATTATGTTGGTTAAGAGTAAAACATGCATTTTGCTAGAATTTCAACACCCCGCCCACAACTTGCAACTCGTAACTCCAGTAAAAAACTGCTGAACTAAATCATGTAAATCACAATTTGAATATATAATAAAGTTACACCCCCACCCACACACACACACACACATACTTAGTGTACCCCTTAAACGTCTAACTATACTTTATATATATATAATATATATATAAATATGTATGTCAAAATATATTTAGTTTTTTATTAACAATGTATATTAACTATATATATAATGCAAATAATATATAAACTATATAGTGTATATATGTATGTGTGATCTATATATAAACTTGGTTTCACTGAGTTTCTATTAAGTAGGATTTAGTTTAATGTCTAGTTGATGTCAAGCAAATATTGTGTATATGTGTATGAGTGTAAACAGTGTTGGAAAAGAGCTATGCAAATTCATAGTAAGAGCAAGGGTTACATTTGAATCTAGTATTTGTAAGCTGAACTTAGAGTAGAGCTGCTGGCAAGAACAGAGAGAGAGAGAGAGAGAAAGAAGCTTTCAGAGTTTAATATTTCTATTCGACTCAGGTAAGACTTCATCTAAACAATTTATAGGATGAGGCTTGTTACAAACTACTAAAAATACATGAGATTATTTAGAAGAAAAAACATTTTTTTTTTTTGAAGGATATGTCCTTTATCCATTTTTTAAGTTCGTAAAGCTTAGGTTTTATCATATTCAGAAAACCAACAGCATTAAGAAGTAAATTCGACATCAAAATTAGATTTAGTAAGAAAATCAGAATTAGATAGTTTGTAGTACAGATGTGGTAAGGAAAGTAGTTCAATTAGTGATAGCAAATTTGATAGACAAAACAGACTGAATTATGATCAGCTTATTTTACATAAAAAATATAGAGAGTTAGCTCTGCAAAAGCTAGCAGTATAAGTAGCTCGTATTTAGTATTGAATGTCTTTTGTAGTTTTCAGCATTAACCAACACTAGTGTATGTTTATGTATGATACTACAGAACACAAACACAGCAAATCTAATTTTCATTTTTAAATACCCTTAACTCTTAAGCCTATATTAAACACAAATTATTTGATACATTTAATAGTTTTAGCTAAATAAGAGAAACAAACTCAATTTTAAAGAAACAGTTTTATTTTTTTGTAGCAAGTGTTGCGCTTTCGCTTGCAGCACGTACAACAGATTTATTTCCATATAAATATATATATTTAATGGTAATTACTTAACTTGAAAAGGATAAATAAAAACAACAATATATATATAAATACATACATATTTATATTTATGCAGAAAAAATTTGTATATTTTACACGTTTGCAACAACTTTATAAGCCAGTGTGCTGAACTGAACTGAATTGTTTGTTTGTGCACAATATAAGCCACTTACAAACAATCAGCGTCGAGAGTTGGCCCATTTCCATTACCACTCTCGTCCGGGCTGTTGGCCCAGTGCCTGCGACTGTGCCTGGTCCTCAACCTGGGTCTGTGGCTGTGCCTGTGCCTGTGCCTGTGCCTGTGCCTGTGCCTGTGCCTGTGCCTCTGCCTGGCTCTCTGCCATGACCCTCTCGACCGCCCACTGTGAACACAATTGCAGCATTGTCTGGCGTATTGTCTATATGTCCCTGGCTCTGTACGTCTGTACGTCTGTCCGTCCGTCTGTCTGTCTGGCCAGCAGTTCGGCTGTATGCTTTTCTGGTAAATAAAACAGGGCCAGAGTGCGAGAGGAAATACCCCAACAGCATCAACAGCAACATCAACATCAGCAGGAACATAAAAACAACAAATTGGTTATATTCGAGGGCAAATGCTGTGCATATAAATATGACATCAAATTATTGAGATACACGAAAAAGAAATAAAGGAACGGGTTATATAATTCATTTGATGGTTTCGTATATCACGTTTGCAGCTGCCCAACATTCCGATTGTGGCTAAATGAACAGGAAAGACGTATGAAATTTGATTCGTCAAAGAGTTGATACACTTTCGGAAATATGAATTCAAAGCCGAGCAGAAAATCCAATTAGAATTATTACTGCATTGGTTTCAAGCAACTCCTTTAGTGTCCTCAATAGCAATTCTTATTCGAATTTAAAAATATTTAATATGATAAATTTGAGATTTACTTAAGCATTTTTTGTAATTTTTTTAATACGAATTTATAGTTATTTAGTTTGTAAATGTGAGGACAGGCCATACTTTCATCTAGATATCCTTTTGGCTGTTCTAAATTTGATCCGTAGCCAAAATATTCAATGCATCAAATATAATTAAATGGGTGCAAGCGCTTGCCAAATTTTTTTTTGCCGAGTCTTTGCCAAGAGTATTCCAGCAAATAAATATTGAAGATAAATATGATTACGTTTAGCTTTCAATTTGATTTGATTCGAGCTGTGATTTATGGCAATGCATAGTGAGGCATTCGAAAAGTTTAATTTCATATTAACTCCAACTTCTAATAAATATATAGACAAATCAATAGATAAAGTATACTATGAATGCCCCTCAAAATGTTAATAGCTTTCTAATTGTGTTCAATTCGTTTGTGCTTGCCTGCTACTATTGCAGTAGTATTGGTGAGAGAGGCTCAGAGCGTGTACATATTTGAGCTAATAATAGTATCCGAATGAGTGTGCGCTTTAGTTGCGCGCTGCTCTGGCTTGCACACTCTCCGAGAGCAAGGGATACAGAAAGCTGCTGCCGAACGTAGGCTCGGCTGCGCTGAGTCAGAGCGAGATGGCAGGCTACAAGAGAACGTGACCAGTGAGAGTGGCAGACGAAGTAATTACTGCACACGGCTGTTGCAGTGTAAGAGCGAAAGCTTTGATTCTGATTGGCAAAGAGAACGTAACTTCAAAGAGAGTGTGAAATGTCGCATAGTAAAACGCAGAACAGATGTAAAAAATGTTAAACTGAAAGGAAATAAAAGGCGATCAAATGACTACATATAAATTAAAGAGTAAGCAATCACAAGTGAACTACATTAGAGCACTTCATTATGATCAAGTGTACATACAGAAGTCCCATATAAAAGGCATTCAATTTATCATAGCAAATTCTCAGTGCAACGTGCCTAAAATACTTTAACATTTAAAGCTCTGAGTAGCTCTTAATAGAATCTTTTGCCGAGCTAGCTGGAAAGTAAAGACAATCGCTTTAAGAGCTTAGCAGAATACATAATATTGTATAAATAATTCTTTGCTTGAAATTAGTCATATAGAATAAAGACTCTTACTCCTCGGCAGCAGTTCGGCATTTTAGAGTAACCAAATATGAATATACATTTAATTTCACATACATATACATATGCTCGGCCACTTATTGTATCTTTAAACAAGGCGCTGTGATTAATGGTCAGGCTGTCCATTGTGCGTTTGGCATTGTTAGCTGTTGTCATTGTGCGCAGTTATATGTAATAATAATACAACACAACAAAGGGCTCGGCCACAGCCACAGCCACAGAATTTATCTACAAAATGCAAATTTTCACTTCAATATGCTGCAGCAGGGCACACATATGCTCGACATGTATAAATATGTATATATTATATAGATATATATATGTAGTCATACATATATCATAAATATTTGTTTATTGTGGTTGACACAATAATTATATTTGCTTTGTTTAGTCCAAGCGAAGGCGCAACATTTAACACACTTTTGTGAATTGAATGGAATTCAATTGAGTTGTAATTTTCAATGCATATATATGATTTGTGAGTGTGAGTGTGTGTGCGTGTGCGTGTGTGTATTTGTGTACCCATATTGATGCCATCTCAATTGCACTCTCTACAGGCGTAATGGTGCCTCGAATGCCCCATCGGAAGCGCTGCGCCCCAATTTGGATGGCAGCCACCATCTGCAGGAGTACACATACAAAAAGATAACAGCTTGCGATGTTTGCTCGCAAATTTTGAGAGGTGCGTATCTGAGTGGAGGCCCGAGTGCCCCGAGTGCCTCGATTGCCTCGAGTTCCTTAAGCTCAACTGATAACTGTATTCGTTCACAGGCCACACTCGTCAGGGCCTGCGCTGTCGCATTTGCAAGCTGAACGCCCATGGAGACTGTGCTCCGAATTTGCCGCGCTGCCAGCCCAAGCAGAAGCTGCTGCGTCGCCAGAAGAGCACCTCCGAGCTGGAGAATCGCGTCGACATCGAGGAAGAAAGTGAGTATTTTCCAAGCATTATAATTACACCGCAGCCAACAAAATAAAAACGCGCTCTCGCAAGCTCATCAAACGCTCCGCCCCTTTGCCCACCAAAAAAAAAAAAAAAAAAAAATAAAAATAACAAAATAACACACACTCCCCTCTCTCTCTATATATATATATCTGTCTCTGTCTGCTTGGCTCGCTGCTGTGTGGCCCAATTTTTATTGTACATACATATATTAACAAATTGTCCCATAGGCATCATGGACTTTAACAACCTCCTAACTATGCATAAGCAAAGCCATGGAACCCTTGAGTGCTTATGCTTTAAAATGAATTTAAATTTGTTGTTTATTTTTTTTTTTTTTTTTTTTTTTTTTGTTTCTTGTTTGGTTTATTGTTTAAGTTTTGTGTTGAATTTATTCGATTCATTTGTGTTTGGGTATTTTGATTGGCAAGCTGTGTGCGTCCCGATCGATCGAGTTCCTCTGCAAATTGTGCATTTTGTGAACCTTCCGCAAACTCACAAGTGTATGGCATTATTTCCAGCCCATTGCATGACAACTTCTAGACCTGGCAAGGACATCAACAACAACGAAAAATTGTAAACTGAAAACAATTGTCATGTTGTATGGTAGCATATACTGCCCCCCTCCCTCTCTCTCTCTCTCTCTCTCTCTCTCTTTCTTTCGCTCACGCTGTGTGTGTATATTGATTTGACTGTGTTGTGGGCAACAGTTGATAACTCACAATGGATTCATGTCAGTCGTGGGACTAACTGATTGCAGCGTTTCTGATTTCTGCAACGATTCGCAAAAAAAAAAAAAATTGAAACTTTTTTCTGTTTTTATTTTTATTTTGTATAATATTTTCTGGTTTTTGTGGCAGACCTTAAACTGCATCTATATATAAACACTATCTGAATTATTGAAATATTGGCAGAAATACGTATTTGTTTTTTGGGGGCATATATACTCAGTGCTTAAGGCCAAAACACAGCGCGAGCTAAAACCGAAAATTGTTAAAGCCAAATTTAAATCAAAATTTATATTTAATTGAAAATTCTAAAATATAGCGACAATTTGAGCAACACATAAACACGTTTACCTGTAGTTTCATATACAACTGCTGCATCGACACATTTCTCCAACTGTGTATTTTGGCCTATAGACCAAAAACAAAAATCAAATATATAAAAATCGAAAAATCAAAACTTTAGACAACCAAATAAATATCAACTATAAAATCCTTTTCCCTCCCCACAAACACACAAAAAAAAAAAAAAAAAATCTATCTAAAATCAAATATATAAAAAGCATCGCCACAGGAGTCCGTTAGCCCCCAATGTGGTCAAGCCGCAGCCGATGAACAAAATCAAAGCGCAAATCTGTTGAATGTGCCCAATACGAAATTTCGTCAAAAGACGCCCTTCATCAATCGCATTGCGCAACTAGGTACCGCCAGTATTACTCTATATAGTATATACGATACTTATATTGTATGCGCAAAGATACTCAATTGCCATGCGCTTGAATTGTAACTTGATTTCTATGATTTCCCTTTGGTTTCCTTAAATTGTCTTCATTTGTATTACTGTTATCATTTAACGGATCGGTTAATGCAATAATTGTTGCGCTTTGATTCACCTAATTAGCCAGACAAGAATGAAAAATACCAAAAAAAAAAAAAAAAAAAATTATAATTTATATAAATATTTTATATATTTACATATATTGCCAAATATTATCAAGCTCAAGCTCAAGTTCAAATTCAACAACAAAAATATACACAAAATGTTCATTCCACACACATTTCAAGCAGGCTAAAAAGTATGTCGATTTATCGATAAAAAAAAAATACCAATAAGATTGCGTAGTGGAGCATGTTCTAGAGCTATCATTAAGTATATCTTATTGTCACAACTTAAACAACAACAACAACTAAAGACAATCAATCAGATATCAAATTTAATTCACTAGCTATCGTACACGCACACCAACATTCACACATATATATATATATCGATTAATATAAATGGGTATTGTATTGGCTACAGAATCGATGAATATATTTAGCATTTGTTGCCATACTTAGAGGTGTTTATTTTCCTTTTATACAACAAGCTAGTGCTCACAAAAATACACTCAAATATATTTGATAAGCGCTCGAGCAGGCGAACCATGCTAAAAGGTGGAGTTATCGATAGTAAAATTCTCTAATCGAAATACATTTCTCATCACACACACACAAAATACTCAGATCCCCAATTAGATATATGTATATATATATATACTAGATATATCTATATATATGGCTAGTCCCTTAATAATACACATATCCGCCCATCAATAATAATCGAATCGAATTCATCGCATCATTCGTTCCAATCACTTGCCAAAAACAAAATTTAACTAATGCACTTCAATGCACCTCACCTGAATCGAAATCCAAATCGAAATCGAAAACGAATTGTGTATCGAAATTGAATCAAACCACAACTGGCCAACCAACCACGCCCACCACTGCTCACGCCCACGTCCATCAACACCCACAAATACGGCAACAAATACGGCACCAATCAACCAACCAAAATAAATACAAAAAAAATACCAAAAAAAAAAACAGAAATTACCGAAATCGATCAAATTTATCGAGTGCTGAAACAAGCCGGAGAACTCAAATCCGGGCATATTCCAGCCGCCGAAAAATCCGTCCACGTGCCGGGCAAAACGCTGGACGTGAGCGCCGCTGGAACGGGAGTCGGAGTCGGAGCCGGAGCCGGAGTCGGAGTCGGAGTCGCTGCACCCAGCGCCGTCTCACAGCCGCTGCAACAGCTGCAGCCGGGCCTAGTCGAGCGTACGATGCCCGTCCCCGAGATACCCATCGTCAATGTGCCGGAGTCGTTGGCCCAGGAGACGCACCAGCCATCGGCCCATCAGCTGCATCAGAGCCATCAGCGCAGCCTGGCATCGGTGGCGCAGGCGGCGGCGGTGCGGGCCGGCCGCGGTGTGCGCCCACCGCCCGTGGCCATGCCCATTTTGGGCGTGCAGCTGCAACAACAGGAGCTGCAGCAGCAGCGCGGCGGCCTGCCGGTGCCCACACAAGATATCTCTAGTAGTTCAGGTCCGCAAAAAATTAACAAAATATCAAAAAAGACACAAATTGCAACAAAGTAGTTTTGTTGTCTCTCTCTCTCTCTCTAACTGTCTCTCTCTCTTTCTCTGTCTGTCTCATGATTTCATAAACAAAAATCTATTTATTTCGTGCAGTTACTTTTGACATTTTTATGGTTTGTAGCTTTGCTCTCTCTCTCCCGCTCCCAATCTCTTTCACCGTCTCTCTCTTTCTCCCTCGGTTTCTGTTTCTGTCACACTCTCCACTCGGTCTCTCTCTCTCTCATCCACACACACGCTCTGTCTCTCCCTCTCACTCTGTTGTAGTCCATCAATCAATTCAGTCCTCATTTCTTCATTTCGTTACGTTTCCCCCCGCCTCTCTCAAAAAAAAGAAAAAAAAAAACAATTTCAAGACCTCAAATCAAATCTTTAAAGCAAAGTTGAAAGTATTGTACACAAACTAAACGCATACACACACACACACTCTCACATGCAACCACTAGCTACAAATATTTGATATACTCCATCTCTCTCACACACACACACAAATATACTGTTACAATGAGTCCTTAAATACTTTTTAACCACCTATAAAGTCTGCTAAATGCTGTTACTGCACTTGTTTAACTGCCAAGTAGCGCCTTTCCTTTTCTAGCCTCAAAACACACACACACACACACACAGAGACAGTCACACACACACACACACACGATTACACTTTTATTGCATTCAATTTCAATGCTCATTCTGATTGCCCAACCGCATACGTTAGATACATTGCGCATACGCCCCGTTGCTTCGCCTTGCCGTTGCTGCTCCTACGCTTGCGATTTAGATTTTGACCAATACATACACACACATACACTAACACACTTGAGCAACGTAGCTATGCATTTTGTCTACACACTTACAAATATAACAAAAATATGCTTCTTCTTTAGCTAATTTGCCGATTCGTAGTTCTTAGCTTAGCAACAGCATTTAATTAGCCAAATATATACTACTAGTGCTTAAACTAAACTACCGTATTTAGTCTGTATGTATTTTGTATATGCTAATCATGTCATATATTATCACAAACACACAAACACACACACACACTAATACTCTCTCATATATATTTATTTATACTAATGCTAATAATACAACATTAATAAAAGTCGCATTTTGCGAGAAATTTAAATAGCAGCGCTTAACTGTTAAATAGGCCATTTATTTAATAACTATTTGACTTTGGGACTTGTGCTTCTGCTTCTATGTGTGCGTGTGAGCCTGTGTGTGTATGTATGTATGTGTGTATGAGTCTATATTTCCCCAGTGTCTGGCTGTGTGTGGCGCATCTGTGTATTTTGCGCTAGGCACAGATACATTGGCTGTGCTTCAACAAAATTGCCCACTCGTTGTATCTGTTATCATGACCCAAATAACAATTTGAATATTAAACAAAAAATACTACGTCGCATATTTTATACACTATAATAAATGCATTTTTAATTAACTATAACCAATTATAAATCAATACACAATGTGAATGATAATAATTGAAGATAATATAATAAAGTTAAAAAAAAAAGACTCCAAATTGAACACTGAACTGGTCGCATTTTATAGGGTATATAAACTTGCTAGGTGGGGCATATTGTATGTATATGTGTATGTATATGCATATATATATATTGATGTGCATCTGTCCCGTTACAATATCAAAGGCAACCATGCAAGAATGATTTTCAATTGAAAATCGACGCAGCCAGCTGGCAACACAATTTCACACACACACACACACACACACACACGCACATGCATGCATGCATAGCATAACAGACGCTATGGGCGATCAACTTAAATGGCGTTGACTGTCGCACACTTAGTCGCCATCGAGTCGATTGGCCAGGCCAAAAGCCAAAGTTGGCCTCATAATTAGCGACAGATTCGTCACTAGCAACTGCAACTGCAGCAGCAATTCCCAGCTACACATTTCCAATTAGCAAAAGTGTGCATGCGTGTGTGCAGTAGAGTGTGTGTGTATGTGTGTGTGTGTGTGTGTGATTGTTGCTGTGCCTTGGTGGCTTTTTGGTCATTTCGCTTGGCAAGTTTGCTCGACAATATTTTATGGTTTATTGCAGCAGAAACTGGCAATTGGCTAATTTGGCCAATTTGACTGAGATTGGATGGGGATTATACATATATTGATAAAGTGCCTTAATTAAACACACACTCACACACACTGACACACACACAGACAGACATAATTTATTGATTGTGCAACAATTCGAAATTAACACACTACAAAATGTTTTCTCGTGTCCCTTCTCTTGCCACAAATAACTTGAAAATATTTCTGAAAAAATTAAAAAAAAACCAAAAACATAAAACTCTCAATAAAATGCCAACACACAACAACAACAACAACTACTACTACTACAAAAATTGACAACAACAACGACAACAAAGTGCAACGCTATGGCATGCCCTATGCGCCCGTCAGCAACATGTCCAGCTCGGCGTACATCAGCAGCGGCTTTGGCATTAACTACTACACGGCCAGCGCACTGCAACAGCAACAGCAACAGCAGCAACAGCAACAGCAACAGCCGCTGCAATCTGTGGCAGCAGCAACAGCTTCATTTCAGCAGCAGCAACAGGCATCGCCAGCACATCAGCAATTGCAACAACAGCAGCCGCCAATCTCTTGCAGCTATTTGCAAAATGATCCGGGAGTGCGACGTCGTCTGTTTGCCGGATTTCGACCATTATCGGGCTTTGGACGCATGCGACAGCAGCGCTCGTCGCAGCAGCAACATCGCTCCATATCATTGCCAGAAAGTAATTACGTCACATACAGTCAACTGCAACAACAGCAACAACATAGACAACTACAACAGCCACAGCAACAACAACAACAACACCAACACTATCATCACTTTTACCATCACTATCCACACGGCAATTACCCTGATACAACATATCCAACACCTGAAACACCTTTCAACTGTTTGCGTACGCAACGTGCAACACATTCGGTCATCGATTTGTGCGGCAACTATTCGTTTGAGAGTGCTGCTATCAGTATTGCGACAGCGACAACTGTAACAACAGCAACAACAACAACAACTCTAACAACAACAACAGCAACAACAACAATTAACAGTTCATCATCCAGCACAACAACAACAACTACAACTACAACTCGAACAAGCAGCTGTTCTTATTGGAATAGTACTGCATTTTATTCCAATTGGATGTTTAATTCGTGTACATTTAGCAAGTGTTTTATTGTTGTCTCTCTCTCTCTCTCTCACTCTGTCTCTTAATGTGCCCTCTCTCTCTCTGTCTGTATGTGTTGTATTGTTTAGAGTGCGTATGAGTGTGCGTGCGTGTGCGTGTGTGTGTGTGTGTATTAAGTGTTACACCTTAGTTAATTGCACCCAACTCCCCCTTTTCATTTACTTTAATTTCCAATTAGAGACGCGTCGCAAAAAAAAGCAACAACAAAAAACAAACTCCCGAACCCAACTTCACTTTAACAATGGACCCCAGCACGCCAATTAGTCTTAACCCAGTTTACACTTCAGGCAAACGGCTCATTTCCGGCAGCGACAGCAACAACAACAACAACAACAGCAACAACAGCAACAACAACTGCAATTACAAGCACATTGCCATAATTTGTATACATGGCCGAGTTGCCTGCTGCAGAGCAAAAAGTGGAAGGGGTGAGGGGGCTGGACAGGGGGTTGGGCCAAGCAAGAACTCGACGCTGGCAATAGCAGCTAAAGAAACAACTTGCAGCGTCTGTGCCGTGTAAATTGCGTCCCATTGTCAGCTTTTGTGTATTACACAGCGAAACGAAGAAGGCTTAAAGAATAGCAATGAGAGTGCAGCCAATGGGCATGCGCGACTAGCAGATGCCCTGTGAGAAAGTAAGAGTTTGATATGTTTAGGTTTTGCTAAGCGGATCTCGATTGGCCAAGATAAAGAGATTGCCTGCTTGACTAGCAGATGCCCGGTTGATGATGAATGGGAGACTACACTCTACTTAGCAGAGCTATGGGGTATACTCGACTAGCAGAGGCCTTGTAAATAGCATTGAGTAGTTAGCAGCTGAGCATGCTCAATAAGACCCCATAAAATGGGATATACATATACATAGATATGTTATACAGGAGAGCAATACGGAGTCAACAGTAGGGCATACACGACTACGAGCTGCCTTGGGTAAAATGAAGACTACTAAAGTGTCGATAAGACTAATTTGTATATCCTATAGTAACTAAGCTAGCAGTTAATATGGCTGCATATATGCATCTCGACTAGCAAATACCCAGAAGTGCTCCAAAACTGAACAGAGTCCTCTTTTATAACTAGACTAGCAGTAAACATGCAGCTCAGCTCAACTAGCAGATACTCTGTAAAAGACAACTGTCTTTATACTATATGCACTACTCAACTGCATAGAAGATTAAGCCCCATATTTATACTAAAATCAACAGCAATCGATATATATCGATATTTAAACATGCAATCCGTAGCCCCTGCCCAGACAGCTTCAATTGCATCAGCACATACAACTCTAATATAGGTCTGCCCACAAGTCCTTCCCAATTACAGGGTATCTAGCGCAAGCTGCTGCACAAATAATGCAGCCGGCTGGCAATTCGCTCGTTTTGCCATTTTGCAGTGCACAAAATTGAAGTTGCGCTGGCAGTTGGGAGTCGAGTCGAGTCGAGTTCATTTCTGCTTAATATTTGCCGCATTTTTAATAGCATTCGCTGATCTATGCGCAGCCTTGCAAAACTTGGCTACTTCATTTTTGTCTCTGCTGCGCCTGCTGCTGCTGCTGATGTTCCGGCTCCTGCTGCTGCTGCTGCTACTCCTGCTGCTGCTGCCGCTGTTCCCTCGTCCACTTCAGGCTGGCTGCAACATAATTATGCTGAAATTTGTTGTGGCGCGCATTTTCTTTTATTCAGCCCCTTCTGCTTTTTAGACTTGCCACTGGCGCCTGGGACTTTCATTTTGCTTACTTTCTCCTCTTTTTTTTCCGCGTCCATTTGCATGTTTTCCTAACGGCGCCCTGGTCCGAGTTGGTTTTTAGCTTGGGGCACAGCCCAGACCAGAGTCCAGAGCTAGGCACAAGTCGCTGGCTGAGCGCTCCGCTCTCACTTATTTTTCTAGGATTATTATTTTGCTCTGCCCGCCTCACTCTATATATCTCTCTGTCTCTCTCTCTCTCTCTCTTTCTGTGTCCCTCTGGTGCTGGTCCATTACATTGTGCCCGGCGGACAGTGTCTGTTTTATGCATGAACGCTGGCGTCTTAATGTTTAATACTTTTGCTTTGTCTTCGTTTAACTTAATTAGTTTTAATTCGCTTTCGCATGCCAAAGTCGAAGCCCACTAAAGCAGCTCTAAAAATCGTCGCTACGCATAATAAAAATAAATCCAAATAAAATGATTATATATACCAATATATATATATATATATGTGTGTATGTATGTAGCTGTGACGAGAACCGATATTGTGCGTCCCTTTGGCGAGCCGCTGATGCTAACCAGAACCATACTCAAGAGCCCTGAGCCCAGTCCAGTCGATGATGAGGCCAAGACCCAACGACGCGTGCGTTTGAATTCAAATTCGAATAGAAATTAATTCAAGCAGCAACAACAACAACAACAACAGCAGCAACAACAACCACAAGAACAACAACTAGCTGACATCTGAATATATTTTGTTTTCTTCTCTCACTCTCACTGTCACTCTCTCTATCTCTATCTCTCTTTTAATTTAATTATATTTTAAGTCTTGCCTTAATACTCAACCTTGATCTACTTTTATTTCCTTTGTGTATCCGTAGCCGTAGTCTGAAAGCCTTAGCCTTAATTCTAAATGTAAATGTAATTGAAGCACAGTAATTATTATAAAATACTCAAACTAACTAACTACACACACACACACTTAAGCTAAGCATAGTAATTTCTCTCTGTAGACTAGTGCGATTCGCATGAGTTGTGTGCGTCCGCTTTTTAAATGTATTTTAAAGTATTCTTTTTAGTATTTTATCAATGCACCGCCACACACTGTATGCTTAAATCTGATTGTTGTAAATATGAAAAAGTACAGAACGAATAAAAACTGATAAAGCAAATATGCATAAAAGAAAAACAGTAAAACTTCTATGAAGAGTCATGAAGAGTGCAATTTTAACGAATGTCCACAGAGATTTACACTGAACTACACGAACATTGTTTACTGAGGCAGCTGGCACGGGGCGCCTAAAAAAATCACACACACACACCCACACACACAGAGACACGGACACGAACACAGCTGTTATACACACCTGAAACACTTGCTGTCTATCTCGCTCTCTACTCTCTGTCTCTTTCTCTCTCTCTGTCTCTGTCTATTGAATGTTGCTCTGTTGCAAAAGTATATATACATATATGTATATCTATCTATAGTCTATGTCCGTTTTCCGTTTTCATCATTTTTTATAGTAACAAATCAAATTTATGGCATAAAAAACTATTTTAATTTCTCTTTCGTTTTCAACTTCTTTTCTTTAGTACTTAACTATTGTTATTATTATTATTTTGATTTCCTAGAGCTGTAGACTGCAAAAATATAGCATACGAAAATTCTGAAAAATACCTCAATTAAATTGCAAATTTTTTTATACATTTTATTGCTTTTTCGTATGAAAACCAAAAACAAAACCAAAAAAAACTCATGTGTTGTCTCAAAAAAAAAAAAAACCACTTGATCCAAAAATCAAACAACACCAACACACGAACAACAACAACAACAACAATTGTCGACAACAGCACCGCACTCTCCGCGCCGCCAAAAGCTGAATTTGCGCATGAAATCGTTGAGCTTGGACTCACCCGAATCGTCGGAGCTGCACGGTCAGTTTAGGCGACGCCAACAGCATTTGCCCGCCGCGGCAGCTGCGTCCACATCCAGCGGTTACTATCACGGCGGCTCGGGAGGCCATCTGGAGCACAGTACTCCGCCGTCGAACAACAGCCGGCTGCACTGTAAGTAGCTAACCAACCATCCCGCTCCCGCTTCCGCTCACCGTCTCAACCACACCACGAACGGAGCTTGCACCCTAATCTCCAATTCTCCAATTCTCCAATTCTCAAAAAACAATTATTACTATCAATGATCAATGCTCTTCAGCAAAGCCAACTGCGCTCTAAGACTCTACTCTAACTCTGATCCTCAACTCGCAAGACTATTCTATATACACATAAATAAATCTGAGATCTTCTACAACCAATGCGAAATACTACACTCAGCTGGATAAGATCTATATGCAGAAGTTTTCTCAAAATACAACAATTGCTGCTGCTTCTTCCACTTTGTTTCGTTATTGTTTTCGTTCACTAAACACAGCTCAAGTTTAATGTAGTTTTCTTGGCTTAATGTAGCTTGAATTAAACTTAAATATATACTCTTATTTTAGTTTCTCGTAGCTTAAGCTAACCAGTTGTAGAATTCGCTGAGCAGTTCCATTCACCAAAAAAAAAAATAAATAAATAAATACAACTTAAAATACAGTCATACAATTATCATCTCTCTCGAGTAGTTATTGAATATTTTCAACTTAAGGCTTAATTTGGCTCGAAGCACTCGGCCTCTACACACACACACCTACAACCACTTTTCCTGCTCTATGTATCTATATATAAATATTCTTTTCATTTTTTCTTTCTTTTTTTTTTAACTGTAACTATCTTACTGTATCTTGTATCTTTTCTATCATGCGTGCATTCAATTTACTGCCAAACCGCATTGAGAGTCGCACACACTCGCTCGCTCTCTATGTGTGTGTGTGCGTGTGTGTGTGCGTGTGCGTGTGTGCTGTGCATGTACTCGCCTGTCATTGCTGTCGGCCATTAACACTGCAATTTCTTTTTCTCTTGCTACCATCTAAATTACAGCGCCATCGAGCCCCTCGCATCCGGGCCGCAAGCTGTTGTATGCCACGCGTGGCATGCGCGGCGGCAGCGTCGATTTGCCCGACGAAATGGAGAAGTCACAGTCCTCGGCCAGCACATCGCCTTGCCTATCACCCGTAAGACATGCCCAGGTATTCCCCTCACATTTTCGGTTTGCCTCCCAATCAATTTATATTGCTTTTGCGTTTCTCTCTTACTCTATCTCGCACTCTCTCTATCTCTCTCTCTCTTGGTCTATCTCGCTCTGTCTATGTTGCCATTTGTTTCAGTTTTGCACTTTATACCGATATATGTGGCATGTTGTTTATTAGCAACGCCTTCTAATATCTTTCCAATTTCAAGAAATCGCATCGCCTCTTGCCCACCAATTTGTACGTAATACTCTACAACTTTAAGGCGCGGCATGCCGATGAGCTGGATCTCAAAGCGGGCTATAAGGTGAGTTATATGACCAGATAATGAGTGAGGGCTAAAGGGGTAAAGGCGGAAAATATGGAAATTGTGGGCATTGTCTCTATTGAGTTAGGCAAATATTTCTTTATGATTTGAATTTATTTGGTATTAGACAGAGACAAGGTATATGTTATCTATATATCTGTGGGGTATACCATAGCATCGTGTCTCATATCAGATCTTCAGATAATCATATATCAGTTTTTCAAATCCTCATATATCCGATTTTCTTATATACTTCTATTAGATTCTTAGATCTGTGCTTTTAGCCACAGATAAATGTGTTATTTATAACATATAGTATAGTATCTCTTTATATCTTATACCACATATTTGTTGTTATCAATCAGTTAGACTGCGTTTCTAATTATAAGGAATATAATATTTTAATATAGACACCTATAAATATTGTTCGCTTTCACATATCTTCCACTGTTTGCAATTTTTTCCTGCTCTCACTGCGTAATCTGTGTCAGAAGACCTCAAATTCGATTTGAGGAAAAGATTTTCATTTATTTCAAAGTATAAACATAATAAAAAATGCAGAATCAATTTACTTTTTCCTGCTATAACAAACTTTACCCTTAACTGTGGCCCTGAGACGCTTAGGTAAAGTCTCAATGAGACTTGCCAGCATTTCGGCTCACTTACGGATAATAGTTTACTTCAGCGTATTCCAAAGTGCATTGCAAAATGGCCCAGAGGGAATAACCTAGTCGATTCGTAACTGGTGAATTCGAGAGCCATTGTATTGTATTTCTCTCACATATATATACATATATAGGTATATATCAATTAGATACAATATGTCAATTTGGACTTTGGCAAACTTTCCATGCTCGAGATTTTGTTAACTTTGCTGGCTTAACTTGATATATTACGTTGTTTATTTCCAATCAACAATGGCAAAAAGTAAACACAGAGAGACTAAACTGTTTGTGTTTATAATACAATCAGCTAGCTATTTATAGTTGTTTATATAGACAGTAAATTTGGCTTAAAATAATAGATGATCAGTTGACAAATCTATGATTGCAGCTCTTACAAGGAAAGGAAAGGCTAGGCCAATCATAGCTGTTGAACCAAGCAGATATTTCAAATATTTTAAAAGTATATGACAGAGAATTCTTCAAGCACAGGGTGATGCGTTAACAGGGTGTTGACAGTTTTATGTCAAACATGAAAAAATAGTATTTTAGTCAAAAAATGCATTATTTTAATGAAAAGTTGATCGACGCTACAATCAACTCAGCTGTAGCTCACTCACCTGAGTACTGCATAAAGTGGTCTCTTTCACTCTGAGCTCTATCAACTACTACTACAACTGCACTCCAGCTCTTCTCTCTACTTCGCCCAATTACAATCCAGAATCTTCACTTCTATGCATTCACTTTGCATGCTCCACAGTGTCTGTCAGCAGTATATTAATATACCACGCTCTCAGCTCGACTCACTCACATATGCTTTGCATACTCTGTAGGCGCTGCAGTCGCTGCTCGTTGAGTGCTGGCATTCAGTGCGCGTGTACTTTTCGCATGCAGTGTATTAATGTGTAAAAGCGCTTTGTTTAATCCGCTAAACTGTGAATTTATCTCGCAAACAAACACAAACGGCAACACAAACGCAAACACGTAAAGCAAGGACAATGGCTGTGCAGGAAATTGCTTGGGCATAGCAAACGCACATAAATAAACCTCCGTATGGAGACATATGTATTTGTATATGGATTTCTATATATACGAATGCACAACAATATATTCAATATGCGCAAAAACCAAATCCAAGAGTAAAACAACAGAAAGCAAAGAAACAGCTGAAGAGCAAGAAAAGCTGGTTCATTTATAATGTACACAGCGCATTTTTTATTATGTGGGAAATAATAGAAAAAGTGCAAACAAAAAAGAGAAGTGAGAACGTTGCAAACGGGTGGGAATGACTGCATAATATAGTGGGAATATTAAAATTAAAATTAAAATATATATAATTCTAATAGTATATATATAATTTGTTTTGCAACGATCTTTATACCCCATGGGCATAGATATATTCGCCATATCTCTTTGTCAATGTGAACGATCACACATTCCAAATTTCAAATGCACTTCACAGGAAAAAAAACTTTTGAGAGACAAAAAAAAATATTTAAAAAATTATAAAATTTTGGGATAACTCTAAAGCTTTATGAGATGAGCTTATATATAACAAATATGTATATCCGAAATCTCAGCGCTCTCCAGATCCTCTACACTGCAAGTCGGGCATTTCACACAACCAATATACTCATTTCGCTTTCGTGAATGGGTATAAAAAAATAGCAATATTAGTAGTTAAAGGGGGGCGTGTGGAGGTGAGCGGGGTATGTGCACACATCCACTGATTGGCATTGCGATTGCGCATACGCCCCCATGGCCGCTGGCAAATTGTGCAAGATATTTACATATGCATTAGCCAAGTCGAGCAGCAGCTTTTGTTTTTTTTTTTTTTTTTTTTTTTTTTTAGGTTTATATTCCACGTTTGCCATTGTGTCCTGGCAAGGACAAGTGGCTGCCACTGCGACTGCGACTGTAGTTAATGGCTGTTGCTTAACGCAAAACTCTTTGTCCGCAGGTGACGGTCATCGATACCGCCGATCCGGATTGGTGGAAGGGCAAAGTGCTGGGACGCGTCGGCTTCTTTCCATCGAAGTACTGTGTGCGTCTCAATGCCAACGAGAAGCCATTACAGGTGACACACAATCTGCAGGTGTCGGATGGCGAGCGCGGCGAGAATATGACCCTGTTAAGAGACCAAATTGTTATACAGGTAAGTTTGGCTATAACTAACTGGCGGGTGCTGCATAAAGCGAGAGTTGTGAAGTGCTTAAAACTCAACTCTATCTCCATCTCTCTCTCTCTCTCTCTGTCTCACTCACACTCTCTATCTATAGACTGGCGATGAGGTCAACGGCATGGTCATGGTGCGCTCGGCGGACAATCGTCAGGGCTATTGTCCCATCAAGTACCTGCAGGAGGTGTGACAGCCAGAAGAGGAAGAGCCGCCTGCAAAATCATCAATGCAAACGTCGCGCGCCGCAGCCGCAGCCGCAGCCGGCGCCGGCGACAAGACCAAGCGTAGAATTAGAATCGTAGTTACCGATAATAACAATTTAGCTAGTAGCAGTAGCTCTATGCCCATCACCCATGCACAATCACAATCACAGACGCAATCACAAACGCAATCACAGACGCAGACGCAGACGCAGACGTCGCCCAGCCGGGAGAAGAAGCGCCTGAACATCGAGTACAGCGATGCGGATGGCGGGCTCATCTGGGACAAGGACAAGGATGTGCTGATACTGTCGGGCCGCAACAAGAACGACAAGAACTGGGAGAACTGGGAGCGCATACGCGAACAGAAGCTGGAGAAGATGAAGAACATCTGCTTCGAGAGCTATCGCCAGTCGAAGCGGGACAAGCTGCTGCTGGCCAAGCCGAAGCCCAAGCAGCTGGACCCCACCTGGTACACGGATAACATCTACTCGAATCGCTCGGACGATCTGGACGAGGACTATGTGCCCGACTGCCTCAAGTACGGCAGCTACAGCAATCGCATTCTGCGCGACATACGCGAACAGGACGAGAAGTATGCGGAGGATGCGCTGCCGATGCGCGAGCGCCGTGGCGAGGGCGAAGGCTCGCCGGGCTACGGACTGCAGCGCTCGAAGAGCTGCAAGGAATTCCAATATCCAAAGTCGCAGAGCTGCTGCTTCGAGGGCAACGTGTTCGAGGCGGGCGGCACAGGCGGCACGGGCAGCTCAGGCGCCACGGCCACCACATCCATACTGAAGAATCGCGCTGGAGTGCCCAAATCGTACTCGTTTAGCGCCTCCACGAAGACCATGCCCTTCGACATCATCGACTACGAGCTGCCGCCCGCCTCGAACACGCGCCGGGAGAAGCGCGAGGCGTACAGACGCAGCATGAATATGCTGTATAGCAACAGCCTGGACGAGCGGACGCTGGCGCACAGCTGCTGTGCGCGGGAGCAGTGCACCAGTGCCAAGTGCTTGCTGGACGATATCTATGCTGGCTCCAGGCGGCGGCTGGATGCCTACGGCGCTGGCAGCAACAGGAATCTGAATTTGAATCTCAATTTGAATCGCAACCTGCGCTCGCCCGACGATTGGCTGTTCGACGAGCGCGCCGAGGCGGCAGCCGCGGCGGCGGCAGCAGCAGATCATCATCATCATCAGCAGCAGCAACGGCTGGGCCGGGGCCAGCGGCTGCCAATGGCTGCACAGGCAACGGCAGCCGGCACGACCGTGATCTGCTGCTGTGCGACAGAGGACTATTGCTGCCATCGCCAGGCACAGCAGCGGGCGGCAAGGCGGCCCCACTGTCCGGGCCATCATCCGGCCGCCGAAGAGGAGGAGCATATGCATTGCCGCTACGACACCGACCTGGAGCAGTTCATACGCGCCGAGCGTGAGCGCCTGCTGCTGCAGGACAAGTTCCTCGACGAGGACGAACGCTACTTGGCCCAGAGCCACATGGCCAGTCCAGGCAGGCGCTACGCCCACTATACACGGCCCACGCGCAGCAAATCCCTGCTGGAGGTGCAGCCGCCCAGTTTGTTTGATGAGGACAGCTGCTCGGATACGACCGAGATCGATCTGGAGGACTTCAACATCGACCTGGAGAAGTACTGGGAGCAGCTGGACAAGCCGCCCAGCCCCATCAACATGGACATGCGACGCAACATGCACAGCAATCTGAAGGTGAAGAACGTGAACGTGCGCTGCTACAACAACGGGCAGCCCATCGATATGCACGACCGGGAGCACGAGCGGCTGATGATCAAGAAGTCGCTGCTGGAGGGCATGCCGTCGCCGCCGCAGCTCGACTCGAGCGGCTCCTCGAACAATGCGACGGGCTTTAGTTTTTTTGAGAATCCCGCTGGTTCGCTGCACCACCACCACCACCAACAACAACAACAACAACAACAACAGCACCACCCCCACCAGCCGCGGCACCATGGCATTGCAGCGCCACCAGCACCAGCCTACGGTGGGTACGGCCACAAGGTCTACCCGACTGCCGATACCCTGCCCACGTATCAGTACAACAACTTCTATCCGGAGCACACGACGCTGGGCAGCGTGCTCACCCAGCAGCCGACGGCGGGCGTCCACCATGCCTCGGCCGGCGGCCACTCGGCGCTGAGTCTGATCAACAACATCTTCTCCATCTACAAGCCGAACAAGTACTCGCCCGAGAACTGCCAGCTGAACTACGAGAGCAAGCCGGAGCCGTGCAAAAAGATGAACGTGCCGAGCACTCGACGACCCCTGGGCGCCGCCTCCAGCAACATGCAGCATGGCCACGAGTATCTGCACTCGTCGATGAAGCGCCCGCTGCTGGTCAGCGCCGATCAGCCGCACTTCAAGATCATTCCCGAGAAGACGGGCCTGAAGATCTCGCCGTTGCTGGCCTACGATGAGTACGGCGGCGGCGGGATCGGGGGAGATAAGTCACATCAGAGGCTGACCAGCACGGCGCGACCTCTGATGCTTCCGCACTGATGGTGCTGGACCTTTCCGTGGTATGGTAATGGTAATTATTGTTAGTTATGCTCACAGCGACTGCCGAGAATCTCCAAAAGAAAACAGAAACTGAGAACTAAACACAACTAAAGGAAAAACCAAAAAACAAAAAAATGGAACTAACCAAAAGACTCGCTCGACAAGCAGCAAAAATATAAAACCAAAATAACAAAAACCAAAAAAAAAAACAAATAACAAAAAATTAAAAAAATAAACAAACTGAAAACAAACAAAAATCCAAACGCACAAATTGGCCCCCAGTTGAGTCCAGAGTACGTTTTTTTTTTCTTGCGACTTGGGCTCGGGCTCTCAACTATTGTTGTAGTGGAACCTCGTCTTCGCCCCGCCTTTTCCATTTTACAGCCAGGTCGTTAATGTTGAGAACTTTGTGGGATAGAGCATTGAAGCATCATCACGTCGTTTGTCTGACACTCAATTTTCACAAGCGATAAAAACTACTAACAGCCAACAGCCAACAGCAACAACAACAACAAGAAACACCATCACCAACAACAACAACAACTGCGCCATACCATTGGAAATAAAACTGAAGTAGGAGAGCATCAGGAAGTGAAACGTCTTCGATACGTAGCGAAAATTGTAAGCTTAGAAATAAAGAGTAATGCGTAATGAGTAAAGAGTAGGAAGTAAGATGTAAAGAGTTTAAACTAACTAGTCACAAGTAACAAGCACTGAATAGGAAGTAACAACTTGCGTATAACAAGTAACGAGTTAGATATAACGAGTGGAAAGTGACGAGAGCAGAGAAAGTTTCTCAATTCCATTTGCTTTGACTTTGTTTGTCACTTCAGAAGTAACGAGAGACTTGTAACGAGTAAAGCTAAAAGTATCCAGTTAGAAGTAACGAGTAGCAACTGCCGAGTGTAAGAAAGAGCAACTAACAAATAACAAGTTAAAAGTAGCGAGTAAAGTTTGCAAGTAACGAGCTATAAATAATCGAAAACAGTTAACGAGTAAATAGTTATGAGTAAAAGGTATCGATTAACAAGAAGTAACGAACCACGAGATCTAAGTAAAAGGCAACTAGTAACACATAACGTGAATTTTCGAACGAGTAGCTAGGCAAGAGCAATAAGTAAAACGCAACAACTAACGACTTAGTGCGAAAACTTCTAACGAGTAGGCGTTACTTACATCACGAGGCAGCTAACGAGTAGAGCAACAAGTAGAGCAACAAGTGACGATTGTGAAGTGACTAGTAGCGAGTAACAACTAACGACTAATAAGTAACAAGTAACTAACGAGTAACATTTAAGAAGTAACTAGCGAGAAGTAACGAGTAACAAGTAACGAGTAGTTTTTTTTTAAGTTTCTTTAATGAAACCGGATTAAGAAAGAGCTGTCACAGCAGCTTAGCTTTGACTTTGACAAACGCAGAAACACATATAAATACACATACTCACACACTCACACACACACACATAGACACAAACAAATGTGCTTTTAAATCGCTTGAGAAATCGCCGCATCTAGTTAATATAGAATAAGCATGCATGCTATGTGTATGTTAACACTAATTTTTCGAGCAACTTTTAAGCAATCAGCAGCGTATACTATATATATATGAACATATATATATATATAGAAAGAAAGAGTACTTCTAGGCTAGGCTTAAGTCATTCATATCCGTGTTTCACATTGTATTTAGTGTTGAAAGCGACAGCATCTTGTATACCCTGTAATACAACCTTGTAGCAGCTAAGCAGATTTTATTACTACAAACTATTTGAAGATGAAAAAAAAAAAAAAAAAACAAAAACAAAACGGAAAACAAAAGGAAAACAAAAACCAAAAAATTATTTGAGACAAAATGTTTTTATTGCCACAAAATTTTTCTATTTTTTATACCAAACAACTTTAAATGCAGAAACTAAACAAACAAGAAAAAATATGGAGTAAAACCTACTTAGAAGCGGAAGTAACGAGAGGGAGAGAGAGATAGAAGGAGAAGTTATTTGATTAGTGGAATATTTATAAGGCTTGACTCTATAAGTTGCGGCTTCTAGGCACTGACAGAACTTTAGTCTTATACAAGATACAAACACACACACATATGCATACATGCAGACAGTTATGTATGTGTGCGTGCGCTTTTTATAACATCCACTAGAGATTGTATAATGTACATAAGATGTTTACTAAACTTAGTATTTATAAATGATATAGTATATGTATGTATGATTGTACTTTTATGATGTATGCGTATCCACTGGCCTTATTTATATTGACAAAGTAACAAAGCAAAACGAAACACAAGCTGAATTCACAAACACACACAGACAGAGAGACACCACTCACAGAAACACACACACACACAAACTTATGCACTTAATATATGAATTTATTTGCGTATAACTTTTGAGCGCACCTGAGAATTAATTGTATTGATTCCAAATATATATTTCTAAGGCTTTGATTTCTGTTTTTTGTTAATTATTTTGGCGTCCAATTTTACACTGAACATAAGTATTAAATAAATAAATAAATATATATATAGGCGCTAGTGAACGAGTTAAGCATAGCGAGTAAAATTGTACACGAGCCTCAACTAAGCGAGCTGCGTATTTTGTAGTCTATAAGAAAAGCTAAACAAAAACTAAAAGAAAAACAAACAACTGTTTTAGCACTCAACAAAATATGTGCATTAAAATTTTGAATTTAAAATTTTTAGATTTTTCAAGATTTTTCGAACTAAGACAAGAGCAGGAACTAGAGAGAAACATTTTCTTAGGCATCGTTTTTTCTAACCACATTGTTGTTGACGTACTTACACACATATTATTCTAAGTGTACCCCTATGGCCTACTTTAGTCGTTAAGGAGAAAAACAAAAGCAAAAAAATACTAAAACAATTTGCTGCACCAACACACATTGAGCACCCATTTATCTATAGCAGATATTTAGGTATATATAAATATATATATATATATATATATATGTATATGATTAGTCAGATATGATCAGTTTCTAGGCTTTAAGACAAATGTAAAATGAACGAAGTCGATGAACATGAAAAACGCCCAAATCTTATGAGTATGTAATTTAAACACAAAATAGAAAATGCAAAACAAATGTAAACAAATATGTAAAAGCAAAGAAAGTAAAAAACGAGTTACGTGAAATGCTGAAATTGGCAATTAAGTAAAAGTAGAACTTAAATATAACTAAAACGAACATTTAACTATAATAATAATATAATAATAGCAGCTCAGCTGATAAACAATTTGAAGCTTCATTTTGTTTATTTAGTGTATAAATATTGTTAGAGAAATGTCAGAAAATCATTATGAATCGAGAATCGATGTATGTTAATGCTAATCCGTAAACAGTTTAGAGTATTTGCTAAAGGAACGTGCGCACGTACCCCCCGCAACATCCCCACAAAAAAGACCGCAAGGAGCATAGAACTATTTGTAGCAAATATAAAGAAGGCAAATTTTATACATATACATATATGTGTATGTATGCATTGTGTGTAAGGCAATCCGGCAAAGATATCAGTGCAACTAACATATATATCAACTGGAGCAACAGAAAACATAAAACAAAAGCGAAAAACGAAAACTAAGCAAATCCATTTAACAATTAAAATAAAAAAAAAAACATCTAGACAATTAGTAAATAAATTTAAATTCAAGCATATAAACCATATGGAATTCAAGCAACAACAAAACGAAACGCAACTTAAATCATTTTTAGCACTACGTGTAATTGATATGTAAACATTATCCTCGCTATCCTTCGCCCAACTCCCCGAGCTAGCTCCTGTGGCTAGTCCAAATACAACAGGTCTCACATCCTTTTAATTTACCCGAATAAATGAAAACAAAAATAAAAACAATGATGTTCAAATTCGATGTAAAAATATGAAACGACTTTTACTTACTTGGCACACAATTTTGTTTCAGCAAAAATGCATTGCATACTTTCAGGCTGTAAATTAAATCGTCAAAGTGGCACGTATTTAAAAATCATTGCATACTCTTGGGCGACCCATTATAATGGAAGTATTTATTTGCGTAGCATACTTTCGCGGGCTGTCGTGCAAAAAAAACATTCTGTTGCATACCCGCGAGGGCACTCTGTAAAAATTAAAAACGCGCTGTTACTTGCTAGTGATTTCTATGCGCCTGGTAGTTCAGACGGAATTACTCAGCATTTTCTGCTCAGCCAAGGAAAAATATTTTATTAGCGGCTAGCAGAGCTCCATTTTAACCGCAAATTCAGCTAAAATACCAGGCGAACAGAAACGAGTAGCAAGTGGCAGCTCGCTAAAATTTTCAGCAAACAGATAAGTATTGCATACTTTTGGGCTGCGCGAAATAATCGATTTTTAATTCTTGTGGTATACTTTCGCCCGCTGCTGCACACAACAATTGTTTGTAAATTGCCGCTTGCTAGTGCTTGCTGTGTGCCTGGTATTTCCATCGACTTTACTCAAAATCTGCGACTCACTCACCCACCCACAAATAAGAAGAGTTTGTTTGTTTGTTGCTTGTAGTTTTTTTATATATTTGATTATTTTATTTATAATATATATCACATTAAATTTTACATTAACCAAGATACAAAATATATGCGACTTGTCATTGTCATTATTATCATTTGTCATTTTTACAATCGTTTTCATTACATATTAATATATATTATTATAGCGAATAGGTATATAGGTGTAGGTATGTATGTATCTAGACATTTCGTTCGAATTGGTTTTACATTTTAGGATTTTCGGATCGACATGCTTGGCATATCGAGGCTTTTACAATATTTGTCATGGGTTTTACATAGTTAATGGGTTTATTACATAGTATAATTGCAATTGAATGAGTTGCAATTGAATGGGTTGTTTAAATATAGTTAAGACTGTCGCCACGGCATGCTTGGCATATCGAGGGACATGGAGGGTTTCATGGGGGCAAATCGGCTTGACCAGTTATACGTACATAGCTAGTTAAACATTAAACATAGAGTTACGATTAGGGCCTAAAACTAATAACTTGTTTTTCTAAACTAATTGCATCAGAGTCAGTCAAAGAAGTTGGAACCTAAAACCTAAACTACTTTGCCAGATGCGCCCCATTGAAGGCGACCTTAATGTCAGGCTTAGAGCTAGTTTGTTGTTGTTGTTGTTGTTGCTGGCTCGTCTCCTGATTGTTGTGGCTGCTGTTGCTGCTGCTGTGATTGTTCTGCTGCTGCTGCTGCTGCTGTTGTTAGTGTTGCTGCAGGTGCTCCTGTGGCTGTTGTTGCTGTTATTGCTGCTGTTGCAGCTGCTGCCGCAGCCGCTGCTGCTGCTGCTGCTGCTGCCGCTGTTGTGCTAGCGACCGCACCATCGAGCGCATTAAGCGTATTGCTGCTGGCGGCCTTCTGATTGGGAAAGAGCACGGAATATGCCGGTGGCGGATCCAGCTCCTCGTAGTTGGGCGGCGATGTGGCGCTGCTTGGATCCATGCCAGCTCCATTGGCTGCGGCCAGCGCTGCCTCGCGCTCATTGTTGACAGCGTGCTGCGATGCGGAAGCTGTAAGTGTACGTATGGATTGAATGTGAGAGCTCAAGCGACAACAGGAAACTGTTGCGAGATGACGGCCACAGAGGAGGCAGTTAATGGCGAGTTGTGAAAGTTAGACATAGACATGGATACAAAGAAATACATTGAGATACATAGATACATAGATATATAAATACAGAGATACGGATAAAAGTTGTATGGCATGCGCAATGTACGACGAAGAATACGAAAACAAAACACGAACAAGAAAACTCACATAAATATTGATGTCTATGTCTTACTTGAACTACAAAAGTGTGCAATTGAACGTACCCCAGAGGCCGCAGATGAGCAGCGCGCCGCCGCAGAGCAGCATGCCGAGCATTAGATAGCCCCACGGCCCGTACTTGGACAGGTCCGAGTGGAGTCCGCTGCGGGTGGAGTTGCGCCGGGTGAAGCCGCTGCCAGCACCGCTGCCATTCACAATGCCATTCTCCACGGTGTCATTATCCTGCGCCTTGCCATCCAGCTCGGTGGCGAACTGAGTGCCGATGGCATTGGGCGAGCCTGGGTCCGGCTTCTTCATGTCTTTGGTGTGCACTTTACGCAGCTGCGTTGTCGAATTGCTATTGACGCCAGCTGCTGCTGTAGCTCCTCCCGCCGAAGCTGCTGCTGCTGCTGCTTCCGTTTCGCCGGCGCTGCCATTGCGCGGCGGCATATCCTCCGGCGATGTGGGCGCATCGTAGGCAAACAGATTGCGAAACACCTCCAAGGCGAACTGCTCAAACAGATCGGACTCCAGCGCAGAGGGCAGCGTGCCGGCGCCAGGACGACGCTGCTTATAGCACAGCTCGTAGTCCTCGTCGCTGTCGTACTCATTGCTGTACGGACAATGGCGTATGCCATCGCACGCCAGCTCCTTGGAGATGCACAAAATGGGCTCGTCGCTGCGAACAGAGGGATTCCCATTAGTTATTACATTCCATATAGTATTATAAGTACCACTTACCCAATCTTCAGGCACTGATGCTTGCTCGCATCCTTGCACTGCTCGCCCTTGCCCAGCACCGTGACCATCAGCTTGGACTTGAGTGAATGCATTCCGTGCTCCCACACGATTCTCACACGGCCGTGGAACAAACGTACCGGATCCTCCATTTCGGAGGCGGTATCTTCTAGCTGACAGGGATCCACGCGCCATTGCGCCGTATGCGGATCCAACGAGCTGAACTGCAAAGGCAAAGCGAGAAAATCAATTAGATCTAAAGAACTGCTCCAATATTTACTCGCGCATGCGCAAACAAGTTACGCGGCTCGCATACCGAATGCAAATCGAGATGGTAGAAACATACGAAATTGGGTCTAAAAACTACGAACAATAAAAAGCACTCAAAAATCTTTTCGCGCCCACACCAAGGCACACGAAATCCGACGTGATATAAATTATTTAGTTAAACAAAGATGTAAACGTGCACACAATAAACAGTCAACTGCGAATACATTTGGAATATTTGGCATGGGAAACGGCAATAATAATGGCAAATTAAATATTTACATTGTGAAACATTTATACATTTATTTTATACATTCTTATTTATATTTATATACGTCGCCGCGCAAAAAGCAATTTCAGTTAACATATGCGAAACTCTAAACTCATATATTAAATATGCATTTACACGAACACACCCCCACACACACACACACACACACACACACATGCATGCTGAAAAGTCGTAGAATGCATACAATATATGATTATATTATCGCCTGCTGCCAGTTAAGCATCTCAAATATTTATTCAAATTTGCGAGCTGCTGTTCCTAAACTAAATACAGTTGCGGCTAAACAAATATTAATTCAATTAAGTAAGCCAGAGCGACGTTATCAGATGATAATATCTTTAAGAAATGTTAAAAACAAACAAATACAATGTTTTAACAATTTTTTCCAGTTGTTTGCTAACAAAACTACAAACTGTGATAAAAATTCTTTGACAATGGAATTTGAATATTTGTCCATATTTTTGTTTTGCAAATTTCAGCAAACTTATTCTATACCATTTGCAAAAATAACATTTTTTTTAAAACATTTTAATAGTTGGAAAAAAAAATTTTAATCAGTTCATCTCTACATTTGTTTGCTTATGCCTCAAATTCCATAAACTGGATTATAAACTCAACTTTTTTCACCGCTTGACTCCAACTCGCATATTTTCGACTGGTTTGAAGCAATTTTACCTTTTATTTATTTATTTTTTTTTTTATTAAATTCTAAAGTATTTTTATGGTTGTGTTTAACATTTTATTTTTAACTCTCAATATATTATCCATTTTGCACTGGCCCCATGGAAAATGGGAAATAGGAGTCCAATGTTTTTTAAAGAATTTTTAAAGATATTTAATCTCTTCAGTAAAAATATGAAACTGATATAAAGACTCTCAAAAAAAATTAAATAAATAAATAAATAAATAAATAAACAAACAAAAATTTAAAAAACTATTTAGAAAAAAAAAAAAAAATTAAAAAAAAAAACACATTTCAAATCTAGCATATTTTTAATAGATTACATTCATAAAAATTTATAAAAATGCACTGAAATTACTCTATTATATCTATTGCGTATATTTCGTCTAGAGAATGTTATACCAAATTGTTAATTCTGGAAATTTATAATTTTTGGCACTTAAAACCAAGCTAGCACAGTGATTCCATACAGAGGTCTATATCTATTTATATAGTATTTAAATGTGTTCCCTCATTTAGATGGTATCTGAACATCTGTCTGCAAATCAAGGTTTTCTTTCTTTGGGCTAACGCAATTAGAGTTAGTTTGGCAAAATCTGCACCTAGCATCGACGTGAAAAACATTTCGACTTTGACTTTGGCTTGACTGAATACATGAATGAATGAGTGAGTGAATGCATGGGTGGGTGTGTGCGTGTGTGAGTATATATATATATATGTATGTGTGTGTGAGTACTCTTAACTGCGCATGCGTGACCACAAAAACAAAATGTGTGAGATTTTGTGTTTACTTTGGATTTTTTGTTAGCATTGAACTCGCCTCAAAATGACAGAAATACAGACCAAGCTGTGAGCTATTGTGACTTTTGTGC